AGTTGCAACATAATTTTTCCTCAAATCGGTATTAAACGTTAAGTGTGTAATATAGGTAAGTTTAATAGACTTTTATTTGAGATTATACTTAACACATAAAAAGTTTTTTTCTCAAAATCATATTATTGTAATTTATTCAGATATGTTTTCTTCCAAAAATTAAGTGCTATATATATTACTTTCTAAAAATCATTCTAATTATATAATTTCAATTTATTAAATATTTTATTTATAAGTAAAAAATTCTAACTATATCTTCAACACTGCTTGATTAATATTTATAGAAATTATTTTTATTTAATATGATTAAATTATTATTTACAACAGTTAACATGATGATAAAAAATTATATATACATATATTGCGATATTATTAATAAATTTACTTTAGAATAAATCAAGATTATTTTTTTCAAAGTGAAACATTTTTAATTTCAGAAATGTATTTTGTTGTATTTTGGAAAGAATGGAGTGCTACGATACCAAGTTGTTGGTTATTTATGGAATCCAAAACTTTCAAATGGCCACCCAAACCTAAAAATCCGACTCATTTATGCATTAAAGCAATATTACCAAAAGAAGATTGGGATACGATTCATTATACTAGATTTATAGGACCATTTGGTAAGTTTAATGTTAATTTAATATCAATTATTTTATATTCAAATATTTTTATTGTATTCTTTATATTATTTTGAAGCTACATATAATGAAGCCAGAGATATTGAAATCCAAGCTGTTGATATTTCGACTAATGATGAAGATGCATTGCAAGCACTTGCAACAGTTAAAGTAACTAACAATAATAAGCCACTTTCTGTAAAACGTGCGATCAATAAACCGCGCCGTCTTTATTCTTCTGACGAAGAAAATCAGAAATCATGTAAGCATTTAAATTCATTTTAAATTTATAAATTAATAAAAATTGTATTTTTTAATATTTTTCTCTTCTAAATATTTACATTTTAATTAATACTATTTTATAATATTTTTTATAGATGTTAAAAATGAAAAACTTCTAAAATCTATAAAAAGTAATAGTTTTCCTCATCAAGACGAAGATGAAGATAAAGAATCTGATGAAGATTCAGAAAAAGGTCTAAACTCTCATATAGTAAATCATTAAAAATATTCACTAACTAATTATACTTTAATAATAATAATATTTAGAATATTAATCGGTTCTCGAAATCAACATATATATATATATATATATATATATATATATATATATATATATTATATATTTAATAATAATGTTTGTTATTTAATATATTCACATATTTTCTTATAGATGTTCAAAAGAATTTTCAAAAACCTCCAATCCAATATATTCCAAAAAATAAGAAAAAGGAAATCATAAGCGAAGTTGCAGCAGGTGCGATGATAAAATTTTGAAGTCCCTGTTTATAATAGAGAAAATATTAGGAATATTAAATATTAAAAATAGGAATTATTTTAAAATAATAAAATTTTTAAAATAATAGACTGATATACAAATATAAATTCGGGTATAAAGGGCTCCTATACTTTTATTAAGAATTCTTTACCCGAATTTGTATTTGTATATTAGAGTCCTTTATTTGTAAGATTTTATAATTTTAAAATAATTACTATTTTTAACAATAAATATTTATTTCTAATATTTTTTTATTGTGCGCAGGATTTAAATTTATATTTGTTTGTTCGATAAAATTTAAATATTTAAATTTTGAAAAAATGCACTTAATTAAATTTTTCATAGGTGTATCAAACAGTTTTAATAATAGTGAAGAAAACAACAATTTGATAACAGTTCCTGAAAGTCTACCTCTGGAATATGGAGATCTCTTTTCTCAGGATTCATTTCTAATATTAAAAGAATTTGAGAATGAGCCAATAAACAATAATGTTAAAGAATATAATAATGAAACACAAGATATGTTTGAAGTAAAAGATGATGTAAATAATACAAATCAAACATCGACGCGACAAAATGAATTTGGTAAGTTAAAAAATACAGAAATTTGGAATAAATTTATAATAATATTAATTTTTTAAATATTTTTTAACACAATAATTTTCTTTGTAGATTCATCTCAATTGGATAACAAGAAAATATATCAATTAAAAGAGAAACCAATTATTCGTAGTATCGTTGAAACCAGTAAGCTTCATACATTCAATAAATATTAATAATATGATGTAATGTGAATTACATATATATGACTTATAAATTATTCTGTTATTTTGATAGAATTGTCGTACCTCTAACAGTTAATATATCAAAACAAATTTCAGATATTAGGCTCGATAAAAATTATGCACATCCACAAACCAATGTTGAAGGACGAAACAAACAACATACACATGAACATCATGACTTATGTTGCAGTAAATACAATTACAAATTTTTGTCTGTTCAATAATTAAATTGTCTTATTATATCTGATTTTTTTATAGCACCATGTCGTACAGATATTCAAGCAATTAAAAAAGCAATAAATTCTATTTATCTTCTTGTATTGGATATAAGTGAAGGGCCTCGCAATGATACCAATAATCTGACCTTAAACTTGCCTATTACGACAGAAAAGGAATTAAACGATATTGAAATATTGCTGAAGGAAGATGCTGTAGCTCGTTCACAATATGTAAGTGTTTTGTTTGTTATTGTATTTCAACATTTATTTAATTTTAGTGTGTGTGTACTCTAATTAAACTATGTCTTGTTAATTTATTTCTAATTAATTTTGGCATCAAAAATGTTATTACATATTCTTAATCAAAATATTATTGCATTTTACAGAAAAAAATGATTAAAAACATTGGTGGTACAACGTTTGAAAAGCATGTACGAAATGCTTTAACTGCAACCTTGATTGATCAAATGGCATATAAAATATCATGGACAGGACAAAAGAATACGATAAGCGTAAAAGAAATGAAGTTTATTGATTTGATAATTGGTATCTATCTTTTTTTGTACTATTTATTTATCATTTTCTTTTAGAGAGTATGTTTTAAGACAAATCGCTTGGATATTTATATCTTATTAATTTTTTATGAAAACGAAATGTCTTATTTTTGATTAACATATTTTATCTATACTATTTCTATAATCATTAATAATACTATTTTAAATTTCCTTTTTTTATATACATTTGATAATAGTTTACTGTATATAAAGTTAAATTTTTACTATACATCACTTTAAATAATTGTTTATAACGACAAATACATTTTTAGACCGTAAGAATATATTCAATATTAAATCAGTCAATAAGGAAACTTAATTTTAGCATGTTCATTTATTATCAATTATACATCATAATACTTAATTATGATGACAGTATGACTAAAATATGATTTGATAATAGAATTTTCTCACAATTTTTAATACAAACTTTATAAATACTGGCATTGCTGTTATATACAAAATTTTTGTTTAAATGTTTATTAGTATAATTTGGAAAGGTTCAGAATATGATAATCGAGTGCTTTATATATTCTAAAATATATGTGTGTTGTACTTATAATTTAATTTTCTTATTTCAGAAACCATAATTAATTGTCGAACTGATTCTACGATTGATAAAATACAAGCCGTTATTAAATCATGGTTACAACATGCTGGCGATCGTCTTCCTAAAGAAGGAACAAAAAAAAATAAAAATAATTTAAAATAATTTTTCGTAAATCTAATTTTACTTTACATACATTTTATAATTATATGTAAAAACAAAAATGTTTTTTTAAATGATTACTATTAGTAATTTTCACTTCAAACACATTTTAGTTACGTGAAAACAAAAATATTTTATTTTTTTTTAATAATTACTAATGTTTTTTAAATAATTATTATTATATGAACATTATATAATATATTGTTAATTATTATTAGTGATTTTCACTTCAAACACAAATTTCCAGTTATGTGAAAACAAAAATATTTTATTTTTCTTTAAATGATTATTAATGTTTTTTTAAAAATAATTATTATTATATAAACATTATATAATATATTGTTAATTAATATTTTAATATTATTTATATTTAAAAAATATCAAAATAATATAAATAATAATATAATAAATAATCCAATGATTTATTTATTATTTCAAAGTAGCCATCATTGAAAAATATGATACTGAAATTAGTTTAATATATCTCTAATATAAAATGGTTTGTTTTAAATACTAAAGTCTCTAAAAATCGATTGAATTTAATTCTAGCGCATAGAGTTATCGCATTTAATGGCTATTAAACAAATTTCAGTGTCACTTTTAAAAAGCCATTTAATAATATAATTTTATGTAAGCAGATGACAATTCAAAAGAAGCTTCTGGTGAGATATTTAGCAAGCTTTCCAAATAAGGGAAGGATATATGAACGACAATATGAATATAAGGATCTCTGTCCTTCATTATCAAAACCTCTCTTTGAGGAGCTCACTAAATATCTCACCAAAAAGTTTGCATTTTTTTAGTGTTTTGAACATCTTCGAATAGATGTCTTATTAACATCATAAACGTGAACTCTTAAAGATATCTAATTTTAGATATCTTTTTGACATCTACTTTAGATATCTTTTTGACATCTAATTTTAGATATCTTTTTAATATCTAATTTTAGATATCTTTTTAATATCTAATATAAGATATCTTTTTGATATCTAATATAAGATATCTCAAAAAAGTTATCTGTTTGATAACTATCGGAAGAAGTCTGTTTTCCCTCTCAATGTGGCGCATAAGAGCTCTTTCTGATATCATTAAGTTATCTTTTTAAAGAAATTTTTGGATGTCCAAAACGTGAATGAGAGAACATTAAGAGTTCTTTTTGTTAACATTTTGCTGTATGGGTTATGATTCGCATATTCCTTAAATATTTGTAATAGTAGAGGAAAAGAAAAAAAAGATGAAAAAAAAAGAAAAAACAGATTGCGACTTAAAGTAGTGTTCAATATCCGCGAAAATCCTTTTCTTTTATTTTAAAAATTCGAAAAAATAATATTAAAATCTGAAAAATTTAATGACAATTATAAAAAATTACAATTTAATTAATTTCTCTTCAATTGTCGGATTATTTGAGAAGATAAATCAAGACGAATCATACATATAAGCAATTTGTGGATTATTAAAAATGCAAAGAAACAACAATCCTCCCAAATAATTATTTGTTTCATCAACGTTACCGTTGAATAATTAATGCACAGGTAACAGATGGAGATTTTCAAAATAAATTGCTCAAATACTGTAATTGCAAAATAATCGTAACAATATTTATGGATCATGCAATTATGAAAGATTGAAAATATCACGGAAAATCCGAGTACTAAGAGCGCATATATATTGTTAATTGTTATATAGATTGATTGAAGAATTTTGCGTTTGAAATTTATTCGATTTTCGCTACGGACTTATGCACAGACCCAATAGGTAAGATAAAGATGATTTTGAATTTAAATATGTAGATAAAAAATAAAATTATATTGCAATTCATCTATTCAATTCTAGATAACTTTCAGATATTATTTTTAAAATTGCTTATGTAAACATGCACAGTTATAAAAAAATGTTAATTATAAAAGGATTTAAAATTCTTATATTCATACTTATTTTATTTGTAAGTTTTCATCGAACACTTTTTTCATCTAATTGTAAGATATACAGATATATATATATATATATATATATATATATATATATATATATATACAATTAGATGAAAAGTGTTCGATGAAAACTTACAAATAAAATAAGTATGAATATAGAAATTTATATATATATAAAGATAAGGTGACGTCAAAATTTCATCTAGATGATCATCTATATAATTTTATTTAGATAACAGCAAACACTGATCATTATATTTATATCAGTCGATAAAATAAAAATCAAAATATAAATATGTGCAAATGCAAAGACAGATAAGGCACAAAATTTTTTAAAGACCTTCGCAAAATTTTCTTGTTCTATAAATATATCTTAGATACACGAAAATGCTCATTTTGTCACAAATACGTTCGTGAAAGGTATTGCACATACGTTTCAAATATGCTACATGTTATATTTTTTAGATGTTCTAATGACGTTTTATATAGTGTTATTTATAAATTGATATTTTGAATGAAACTTTGAAATATTTCTACAACATTTCTGTAGAGTTTTGTGCTATGTGGGCGATAATCTCGATACATATCTATGAAATTAAATATTATATTTAATTAAAAATTTTACGATATATGCGTCTGTGACATGAAATATTATTTAATTAAAACTTTTACTTTTTTATTCCTTTATTAATTAATATATATATATTTAAAGTAACGAATTCAATATTCATATACCCATACAGCACCGATAGATTGCAAAAACATTACAACAATCTTTCACCGCAATATTGCAATATTGCAAATTCACTGCAAAATGTGGCTACATCATTGCTGTTGAATTGCAGCAATGTTAAAATGTCCGCTTTTGGAAGATTTCAACAAAATACTACAATAATATTGCAATAAATTAATATTAATGTTATTAACAAAATTATTGATTATTGTTAACATTTTTTATTGTACAATATTGCAAAAAATTATTTTATTACAGTATTATACCCAGCAAATACCAAGTTACAGTTATATAATTGTTAGTTGTAATTTTCCACTCAACAATATAATTGTTATAATACACGTATTATATTTTTGATTGGGAAATTACAACTAACAATTATATAGCTGTAACTTGGTGTTTGCTGGGTATATGTATATATATTACAATATATAAATTATAGAATTTGGATTACATGCAATATTTCCGAAATATTAATGTCATGTTGCTACAAGTGTGCTAGAATTTTGTGCACCTATATCTCTACAATGTCTTTATAATGTTGCATTGCAACTTGCAACATTGCAACGTTGCTGCAATATAATTGCAATAATCTGTGCTGTATGGGTAATTTCTCTTCCCCTCCCTCTGTCTTTTCCTCTCCTTCTCGTTATATAATGATGCCATATATGTAATAACTAACATATGACGTATGTGACATTACTCCGTAAAGGCGTTGGCAGAGTGATAAGTGTTTGAACTTTTATATATCTACATATAGCAATATAGACCAGTGATAGCCATAAGTATAATATATTATTTTAACCGGGATATGCTAATTTGAATATATATATGTAAAACTATATATTTCTCGTATGGAACATCGAGGTCTCGTACAACAAGTAGATTACATGGCACAAAGTGCTGACGTGTGTAAGTATGAATCACTATATGTATACTATATATTTCTTAGATAATTCTTGATATGGACGATGAATATATGGTTGGCATGCAAAAAGGCTTTAAAAATCAAATAGTTTAATGCAAATTGTGAGAAGCTGCGTTTTATCATCCGCGGAATGTCTATAATTAAGTATTTTACGATAGAAACTATGAACTATAATGTTCTGTCCTAGCTCATTTGCGAAATTCACTATTGATAGCGATAAAGAAGCAAATGTGAATAAAACATCGACATCAATGGAAAAACCAACAGGATCTACAGAAAGTGAGTACAAATACATGGATAAATAAAAATAGATTGGCTTATTATTAAAACAGTAAAGAAAATGAAAGATGAGACTACATGTAAAAACAGGAGATCAAGATGATGATTATATAAGGCGTAGTAGTTCGGAAAAATTAGAGAATATTAAACAACAAACTTAATAACTTAAAAGAAATAAAGAATAATTAAGTATTAGACAAATTTTTGCATTCTTATTTTCGACATACCAGCTCATCTTATTAGCCCATATACCTTCCAATCTCTTTCATTTGAATATATTAGAGCCTTCTCTCCATCTAAAAATTAACATGACGCATTTGATCCGCAGTGGCTGACATTACGATACAAGAAGAAAAACAAAAAGAAAAGGAACTAATATTATATACAAATGTGCGAAGCTTGATAAAGCGCATAGAAAAAATAAAGCAGATTAGGGAGGAAACATATCCAGCAGTTATAGCATTATCAGAGACTAGAGTGACGGATAAAATTAAAAATAGTAAAGTAAACGTGCAGGGTTATAATATGATTAAATGTGTTTCTGAAAATAGACGTACGGGAGGGGTTGTGTTATATGTAAGAGACGATATTGAATATAAGAAAGTTTTGATTAAAAAGAAATTGTCGAAATGCTGGTGCGCCGCGATAAAAATAAAAGAGAAATTTTATAAAGGTGTGATAATGGTAATATATCACTCGCCAAGTGCATCAGACCGCGATTTTGTGAAATTCCTAGAGGATATAGTAGAAGAGGTAATATTTAAAGAAGATTGTATGGTAATAGGCGACTTTAATATAGACTTTAAAATGACAAATAAAATCTATACAAAGCAGTTGAAAACGGCAATGCATAGTTTAGGTATGAAACAGTACATTGATAGTCCAACGAGAATTACGAAGAAGACTCAAACAATTATAGATTTAGTTTTTGCTAACACCAAAATACACGCACAAGTAGATCACACGTTTAATATAGCAGACCATGCGTGGCTAAAAATTAATTTGAATGCAAGTAAATCCAAAAATAAGTATAGAGAATTTAGTGCTACAGATTATAGTGATTTTAATATAGACGAATTGAATACAGTGTTAGAAAATAAAATAGGGCAAATACAAGGTGTGGATGTTAGTGCAGAAGCAAAGAAATTTGTTGATATAGTGAATGTGCTGGACGCTACGGCATTTAGAAAAAAATTAAAAGTTCCGAAAGTATGGGAAGGGAAAAGCTTTTCAGATGAAATAAAGGACGCAGTGAATAGAGACGAAACGTATAAAGACACAGATCAAGAAAAGGACAAATATTATATTGGATAATAAGGGAAATCCTACATCTATGTGGAATGCTATAAAAGAAATATTTAAAGATGAGCCGGAGGATAGAAAAGAAGTAGAGAATATAGATTTTGAAATATTAAATAACATTGAAGAATGCAATATAGTGGATAAATTTAATTTATATTATACAGAGTGTTGATAACACAGTAAAATCTATAAATGGATATGAAGCAGAATGTATAGATGAACAAATTATTTCTGTTACTGAAAGTAGTAAGATTATGAAAATTTTGAGATGATTAGTGTAAAGAATCTTGAGAAGTTGTAATGGGTCTACCAAAAATGAAGGACACAGAAGAGGGTATAACTAGTGACACACTTAAAGCAATGTTTTATGAGATAAAGGAGACATTTGTTGATGTAATAAATAGTTATTGAGGAAAATTGTTGTCCGGATAATTGGAAAACATCCACGATAATACCGATCCCGAAAGTAGAAAATGCGACAAAAGCAAGTGATTATAGGCCCATTAATATGTTATCAATATTTAAAGAAGTATTAGAATTAATAGTAAAAACAAATTAAAATGTATTTAGAAAGTAATAACATTATAACAGAACATCAGTCAGACTTTAGAAAACCGTATTCGTGTGAAACGGCAATTCGAACGATTATTGACGAATGGAAATTGAAAGAATATAGATTTAACAGATTATAATTTTAATATAGAAATTGAAACAATGAAATTATGCATAGGAATTAATTTATTAAAATTATAACAGATTGTATTATATACATTGAATATCAGAAATATAAAATGGATAGAAAAGAATAGAGAATATATAATGAAATATTAAATAACATTGAAGAACATTTAATTTATATTAAGCAGAGATTAAAATAATAAATATGAAGCAGAATGTATATATTATTGCTTACTGAAAGTAGTAAGATTATGAAAAATTTTGAGATGATTAGTGTAAAGAATCTTGAGGAAGTTGTAATGGGTCTACCAAAAATGAAGGACACAGAAGAGGGTATAACTAGTGACACACTTAAAGCAATGTTTTATGAGATAAAGGAGACATTTGTTGATGTAATAAATAGTTTATTGAGGAAAAATTGTTGTCCGGATAATTGGAAAACATCCACGATAATACCGATCCCGAAAGTAGAAAATGCGACAAAAGCAAGTGATTATAGGCCCATTAATATGTTATCAATATTTAAAGAAGTATTAGAATTAATAGTAAAAAAACAAATTAAAATGTATTTAGAAAGTAATAACATTATAACAGAACATCAGTCAGACTTTAGAAAACCGTATTCGTGTGAAACGGCAATTCGAACGATTATTGACGAATGGAAATTGATAGTCAGTGAAGGGAAAATGGTAGGGATAATTTTTATGGATCTTGAACGAGCGTTTGAAACAATAGATAGAGACAGATTAATAAAGAAATTATATCAGTATGGAATTAGAGGAATGGTTTTAGAATGGCTAAAATCATATTTAAACAATAGAACACAGCAGGTTCGATTTAATAATAAATGGTCGAACTTAATTACTACAGTATGCGGAGTACCACAAGGATCTGTTTTAGGAACCTTGTTATTTATTGTATATATAAATGATATAATCAAAATTTGTCCAGCGGAATGCAGTATAAAAATGTTTGCGGATAATACATTAATATATGTGACCGGAAAAAGTAGTGCCGAATTAGAGAATAAAATGAATATGGCATTTAAGACAGTGGAAAAATGGATGAATATAAATAAGTTAAAAATAAATGCAGAGAAAACAAAATATATGATAGTTAGAAGTGTAAGAAAAAAACAAATAGATGATATTGCAGTAAAATGTTTATATGGAACTGAAATAGAGAGAGTAGAAATAATGAAATATTTAGGAATAATTATTGACGATAGGCTTCGATTTAAGGACCACTGTAATTATATATTAAAGAAAATAGGGAAAAAAACAAATTTTCTAAATAAAATAAGTAAGTTTATATCGGAAGATACTAGATGTACTATATATAAGACAATTTTTGCTCCTCACTTTGAGTATTGTACGATATTAATTAATATGGGAGAAACAGAGCTGAAAAAATTACAAATAGCTCAAAATCGGGCCATGAGAGTCATATTGCAATGTGAGAAGCGTACCAAAATAAAATATATGCTGCAAAAATTGCAGTTTATGTCTATAAGACAGAGGCTATATTACAATGTATGCATATTTATTTTTAAGATTTTAAAGGGAATATCACCCGAGCAATTAAAAATAAGTTACAAATAGTAGGAAATGTAAAAAAAAGAAGTACACGACAGGCCGAGGATATTGTAATACAATTTCGTAAAACTACGAGTGCGCAGAAAAGCATATTTTATGAAGGAGTGAAAATGTATAATGCCTTACCAATTGAGATAAGACGATGCGAAAAAATTGAATCGTTTAAGAATATGTTAAAGAAGTATGTATTTATTAATGTAAACTTATAAAGACTTGACAAATAGCTGAAAAGTTAATAAAGACGAATAAAAAACCTTTGTCTCTCTTTCAATTTAATATTACATTTTTTTTCTATAAGTATTTTATGTAATACAACATTTTTTCCATTATCTTTAACATTATTATCAAACGTGTATTTTATGAAAACCATATACCTATATATTTCGTGAGTCTTTTATTTCTTCCGTAATGTGCGCTTATATTAAATATTTAAAGCTTGATTTTATTTTATAATATTGTTCGACATTATTACTTATTACATATCAATTTTTTCTTATTTTGTATAAAAATATTACATATCTCTGAAGGCCGGTGTTCCAACTTCTTGATAAGTTTTACCCGACAAGTAGCATATATATCGTTTCTTTTTTTAGAACTTATCTAAAAAGAAACAAAAGTATGCTATCTGTCGGATAAAACTTATCAAAAAGTTGGCATCAACTCTGATTGAGAGATCCCAAATAGCAAACTGATGTCATTAAATGTCAAATAATGACGTACGCGTGTTATTTGGGGGATAATTAAATTTTTCCGCCAATTTTATGATGGTCATTCAGAAAGCATTTATACCGATCGGAAAATGACAGTTGTTAAGTAGAGGAAGCCTCAACAGAGGGCATCAGCTGTTCACTTTTGGCGGTTTCACTCGCGAGCGAGAGGAAATGTCAAGCAACGAAAGAGCGAGAGATCAGCGTTCAGTTCTTCGTGATTGCTCGATCGAGTAGGGTCGGTCGTGTTCGCGTTTAACTCTGACGTTCGTGTATATTCTGAAAAAAGTCATACATTACCGGATATCGCGACGTCGTGTCCACTGTGTCCTTTCAAGAGAGAGCGAAATAAGGAGTTTTTTTTTCATCGAAAAGGGAAATCGAGAAATAAGAATGATTCAGCGAATTCCTCATTGAATAGATCGTTTCATCGAATCGGCTATCAGGTGAGAATACCGGCGAAAGGAATTTATATAAGGTACTTCTCCTCTACCGAGAATTCCTGTCCTTTTCGCGCGATGTATTTATTTTATTAATCTTCGAGATCTTTGATAGCGCGATACAAATGACTTTGATTGCCTAAATAACTTTTTGATGTCTTTAGATCGCATGACATTTTATATGACGTTTAGTTTTTTTATTTTAAAAGCGATATTTATTGTAAGAAAATTTGAACTTTCTAATCCCACGTAATGACGTAATTGAAAAAGGAATGTCATTTTACGCGCGTCATATATTATATATATTTGAAAACTTTGAATTATTTTGAATTATTTTTCAATCCTATAGGTATTGTATTAAATTTAAAAAATCAATATAATAACGTATTTTATTCATTTAATTTATAATTTGGCCTTTGTATATAATAAAATAGATTTTAATGTCAAATTATTTAGAAGCACATATATATAGTACATTTTTTTAAAATCAAATAATCCTTTTTGAAAAATAGAAAGAAAATTATATTATTAAATTCTGTCTACATTATAAGATATAATTATGTTATATATTTTGTTATATTTGAAGTTTCTTCTATATATGCTCCATTATTTGACACATATACAACAGAGCATATTAAAATAATCAAATATAATTTTATAAAATAATTAATTAATACATTTTATTATAACGTTGGCATTCTGTTTATAAAAGTTTTACGTTTTGAGTATTTTGATTTTACGCTATAATCTATTTCTGTGAAGCCTGCTCAAGATTCACACAATATAAGATACATATAATGATTTATGTACATAGCATCATAAGACTGTTTATTGAGAAAATATATCTCCGTTGATATATGTGAATGTGATTGATCTATTGACAAAGGAATTCCAATGACTGAACTGATTGTTATTTATGACTATTAAATATCTATGATTACAAATCATTTATATATAAGTAGGATATACAATATTTACATGAGTAAGATATCTTATCGATTATCTTTAATCTTAATCCGATTTAATTCAGATTATTAATTTCTTTTTAAACAATTATCACATAGTAATAAATGTTTTAAAAATAATTCAATCATTAAATTTAGAAATCATTGATTTAAGACTGTATGTAAATAAGGTAACAAATAATAAATACGAATTAGTAAAATATATAATTGAATTACTATTATATTAGTGACTTATTAGAGATGTACGAATTATTCGAATTCGAATCGAATCAAATCGAATCTGGCAATATTCGATTCGATTCGACTTCGAATCGACGTAGTTCGAAATCGAAAGATTCGTTAACGTCGAATCACTGCAATTCAAATTCGAACTAAAGAACCGCGTAAGAAGACTTAAAACCTGTTTATTAATTTTATCGTTTAATTCTATACGCGTTGATTCGATTCGAATTCGAAATATGGGTGATTCGATTCGATTCAATTCGGCGATATTTTTGTCGATTCGATTCGAGTTGTTTTTTTGCAAATTCGATTCGATTCGATTCGAATTAGAAAATCTTGATTCGCACATCTCTATTACTTATCATCGAACAATTTTGTTCGAAAGAGAAAATTAATTTGTAGCCTTCAAACATTACAAATTTACTATTTTCAATATATTTTTAAATAAACAATTCTATTATTTCATAAGGAAAATATAGACATATAATAAAACGAAGTAACGAACAGGCCGATTTTGGAATAAATATACATCAAATATTAATTTATAGCTTTTAAATATTCAGATTTACTATTTTTGATATATCTCCAAATAAATAATTCTGCTATCTCATAACGAGAAAATATAATAAAACGATCTTTAGATGTGTATCAAACATTAATTTTTCAAACATTGAGATTTACCATTTTTGATATATTTTCAAATAAACAATTCTATTATCTCATATCGAAAAAATATAATGAAACGAATTCTAGGTGAGTATCAAACATTGAGATTTACTATTTTTGATATATTTTTGAATAAACAATTCTATTTTATTTTATAAGGAAAAATATAATAAAACAAATTCTAAGTGTATATCAAATATTGAGATTTACTTTTTGCGATATATTTTCAAATAAACAATTTTATTACCTCATAAGAAAAAAATATAATAAAACGAGGTATAAGAAACGGAAGCGTGCCGATTTCGGATGTTCTAAATAAGTGTACGTACGTACATAATAACTGCCATACACGGGGAGTAACACACTTGAGAATTACATCACGATTACACGTTCTCGGCTGACATGATTCTAAATTTCTCACACGAGCCTATTATTTCAATCGCGCCGCGCTCTCGTAGTCGGCACGCTCGATTCTCTTGCAGTTGCAGCGAATTGTCGTGGATGAGATTCCCCGGTTATACTCGCGCTCCTTCTGCCTTCCAGCACAATTCAAAGCTCACAAAAGGGAAACCATGGGAATCCCGCCTAATTATATTATTCATTAATTAACTGGGATCGGACAAAAAAGCGCGCTGTCTTAACGATGTGAACGACGAATTATCACGAATTTATTCCCGAACTCTTGCAATGGTGCAAGAATCTCCGAAACAAAAAAAAGATACGCGTTTCTCGGCGTTATTTTTTTTTCTTCCTTTGGGAAACTCGCGTTTACCTTTGCGCGCCGCGTCAAGTAGCCATAGGAAAGTAGTAAAGTGAAACGAATAACACACCTGTGCAGTTGTTTGGTTTCACGGACACGATTTGGTTAACGGACTTCAAATTATACGGTTCTCCGTTGAAGAGATGGAAATATCCCGAGTTGCGAGGAATATTGTTTGTTACGCGACACACATATGCTTTTATACGCGATTTTTACGACATTATTTTTTTTCATCAAACCTATATAGATATGTAGTAATGACATACTTTAATTAATTGAGAGGTATACACGCGAAATTTTTTTTCACTTTAATTAACATGTGATTCGAGTCCATCTGCGTCCGCATTTTTTCTTATCATTTAATACGGTCATAAAATTATGTCGTTATGTCAAATGTCATATGCATCGATATATAAGCGTCAACTTAAAGTTCTATTTACAGAACTTTGAGAAATTCACTTGACATTTTAAGTCTGATTATTTTTTTCTAATAAAAAATATAGAATAAAATTATTAAAATTATTTTAAATTTAATATACAATTTTTTCAATCGAAAAAGACTTCGATATTCTCGTTGAGGAAAAGTTGATTGTAAAATTGATCGCAGAACACGTTCGTAAATTTATATCACCTGCATATCGCATATACATATATATATATAAACACAGCTTTTATCTAAATATATATGTATATGTATGACCGATTTATTCTCCATAAACGTTCTCTCTTTCGCATCGATTTTTCGTCGACGAATTTATTAATAGCAATTGTATTCTCGCGGATACTCGCGCATATTTCACGAGCGCATTTTTATCGCGGGAAGAGCGGTATGAGCACGTTTACGGGACAGACTTGTTTGCAACCAGGAAATGGATTTCGACAGCGTTTTTAACGACGTCTCGTAAACCAAGACGTCGATAAACACGCTGCTCTCGGCGCGCAGCGTGTTACGAGAAGTTACACCACAAAATTTTATACGTCACATACGCACACATACGAATTTCAAAGCGATACGAATACGGTGACATTCGGTAATGAAAAGATATATAAACGGTACTTTTTTTACAATCATTACCGCGAGATACCACCCATTCAAGGTAGACGCGTGCGAGAAACAGAGGGGTTTAAAGAGAGCTCAATTTTTTTATTTTAAGAAATCAATTTTTTTTTATTTTAATTCCAATTTTTATTTTTTATCTCATTTTTTATATTTTATTTTAATTCCAATTTTTATTTTTTATTTTATTTTTTATTTTGATTCCCGGTATCTCTTATCAGATGTGTTGAAATTTACTTCGACAATCTACGCTTCAATCTTTCTCTCTCTTTCTTTATTGAAACATTGATTAATTTATATGACGCCATTTCGCCGATTGACTTAATCTGCGAGTCATTCATTCCGCAACTTTATAACGCAATGTCTTTTCTTCGATACGCTCTGCAAGGAGATTCGTTGTTTAGATAAATTCCTGTTTTTTTTGCGCTCATAAAACGGACCGGTTGGTATTACGATCGGAATATTAATGATAGAGACTAATTATATTTTCTTTATACTGGTTAAGCGCCGCGTAAACAGCACAGAATTGAATTTGATATCGCACGCTCCATAAAACGAGGAAGACTTTACGAAGCGAAAGTACAATGAGATGTTCATTGAAAAAGATGTAATTTAATAGCGTTTCATCACGGATGACCGATCACTTTCTAGCCGCTTAGCGCAGAAAGTATTTTACACGGCGAACCTTTTTCTCCTCTCTCGCTCTCTTAAGACGTTCTCTTCTCATCTTAAAAATTTCGACTTTCGAATCGGAGAATCATAGAAAGCGCGGTTTACTCCAAATTTTATATACATAAAGTATTATTTTAATAATTTTATGTATATAATTATATTAGAATATAAATTATAATTATATTACAATTAAATATATTATTAAAAAAATTATTTTATATGAATTTGCATATTTATTAAGACATTTAGGATGTGATTATTTTCCTCGTATGACGTATTACACGGTATATTACGTAGTTTTTTCTCAGGGTGGGAAATACCGAACGGGTCGCATAAATCCCCTCCGGGGCGTAAAATGTTACACATGCTAACGTGAAACGATGTTAATTATCTGGAACGCAAAACAGGTATCGGCGCGCACTCGTTACGATCGAAACTTTCACTTCGCGCGCTACTTGAACGATATTATCTTCTCTCTCTCTTCTTTTTTTTTCTTAAATGCACGTAAGCAACCATAGAATGAGCGTGCAATACAATAAGTTGCGTATACTTTTTTTCCGCTGTGCTAGAATGCACATTCCGATAATTTTTCATATCTGAAAGCAGATGAGGACAAACGAGTCTTTTTCAGTTTTATTTTTTACATAATAATTTTCGTACATAA